CTGAAGATTTAGTTTATGTGCATACAAACCTTCGACTTCTCTCAAGGAAAACTCCAACTTATATGGAAGGAGACAACAGGATGTGGGATGTTGCTGGAGATGGATTTGAATCTCTTGAGGATATGGGAATATTAGAAATTGCTAATCTTTCACTTGATGAGCTTGAATTAGAAGCTATGATATTTATTGAAGATGATATAGAAACTCAAAGACAAACCACTGAAGAAGCTAATCCTATCATTCCTTCTATTGAATAGTTGAAATTTCATGTGCTGGGCAATTTATCTTCTTGTTTTTGTTGTTGTACTAGACATTTCAATACTTAATACTTACTTTTATTTCAATTTTTTTGTCATTTCAAATATTACACTTTGATTACTTTATTAATTTTTATGTATTATTTATATATTATAATGCCGTATCCGCGCCGTATCCGTATCCTGTATTTTTAAGAATTGGCGTGTCCCATATCCGTATCGTGTCGTATCCGTATCGCCGTATCCGTATCGGTGCAACATAGCTAATCACATGCCAAAGCTGCCCCAGCTGCCGCCGATGCTCATCTCTTTCACTCGGTTCGGCCCCATGTGGCACAGGAGAGAAACTCCCATGCTACACGCTAGAGCTCGCTCCCTCTCTAGTCACATGTCACTCAGCCCTCCCAACCCCTCGGGTCGCGTAGGTGCATGCATAAATGAGAATTCTCCCAATCTCTTCTCTATAACCAAGATGAACATGCCCCATGTTTCATTTCTTATAAAAACCAAAAGGAGCTGCTAGGATAGGTGTTGAATGATCATCGAGCCCCTCAGGTATTTTGATCTAATGACTAGGTTCAGTCCTCAGTACCCTTGCAAGTTCGAAGCCTCTAGTTGCAACAGGAGGTTGTGAGTAAGGTTGGAAATGGAGCAACTATCTCAAATTTTTAATGTGATTTCAGCCGCGAGAAGGAAGATTTTCTTGATATGAAAAGACTTGAGTTGGTTTTGGAGACTAAAACTCGAAGGGCTGAATCAGGTGAGCTACTAGTCTCAACATGGGCTTGATTTGACTCAATTGAGTCGATTTGGCACAATTTAATTTAAATTAATTTGATTCGCTTGATTAAAAAAATTTGAGTCAACATCAATTTTTTTAAAATAACATATTTATAACATCCTCTGCAGCTTTAAAAAACTTGCTTTACTCACAACAATTTCATTACTTTTATACTGTTTCCGCCTCAAATGGACCTTAAGATACCTTGAATCAGAAAGGTATGTATGATTCAATAAAAATCGAATGATTCATAAAAGAGTCATCACTATGAGGATCTGCTAGCCTAGCTAGCCAAATCCAAAAAAGTTCTACTTATACATCTATATAACAAATATGCATGCATATATTTTTTATATAGCATATGCAAGTATTTAGTGAATATTTTATAATCAATATGATCACTAAAGTTTTCGGTGACACCTTACTTTTGTGAATTCTTTTCTTTAATTGTTTTTTCTAAATATTTTATTAGTGGGTCACTAAAAGTTTTTTATTTTGCCCAAATTCGATACATTTGAATTTTTTATTGTGGCGATTAATTTATCATCACTCCTTGATATAGAGTGATTCAAAATTCTTTTTGATTTCTTCGGACTATTTGATCTATAGTTTAGGTTCAAATTCTCATATTTACTTTTTGCACTTTAAAAACGTTGGTCCACTGATTTGTGATCTATGAATTCTTCATTCCCTTGCATGCTATGCATTTTTTACATTATTCTAGTTATATTTGGAAATCCTAAATTTAGGCCGTCTTGCATCTTATACAATTTATTTTAAGGAAAATAGTCAAAATGATCCCTTAACTCTTTATAAATAAATAAAATGGTCCACAATTATATTAATGGACCATTTTGGTCTCTCTAGTCCTTAAAAAGGAACCAACGTAGTCCCATGGTGGGACTATTTGGTTACTCTTTAAAGAGTTGAGGGAATAAAATTGTCATTTAATATAGTTCGGGGTCATTTTGATATTTCATAAAAAGTGAAGGGGCTATTTTGATCCTTTTCACTTTCTAATTTCTTTTACAATTTCTCACATTCTTTACATTGTTTTGTAATTCTATATAGGTTTAACTGTGAGTCTGTCAATTACATATAAACACAATCTTTTACTTGCATATCTCTATGAAATAGTGTCTTTGTTCAACTTTTGCTATTATTAGGCCTCTTATCTGTTTTGGTGTTGTTGATTAACATTAAGATCATGATTTTATGTGTTAGCTTTAACTTTGCTCTGCAAAGAAGATTTTCCTTATTACTAAGAGATTCACACATTTCCCCGAGGATATCTGCCACCATCGCTTTGCTGGAATACCAATGGGAAAGTGGAGACACGTAGCTTGATATTGACTAATCTAATAATGCAAGCATTTGACTCGAAGTTTTACAATGATTGATTTATGATAAATTCTTCATAAGAAGTTGCAGGAAATCTTCAATTATGTGAGTTGAACTATTCCATGTGTAAACTGCTATTCAATAGCTAGAAATCACATTTCCTGAATTGTCAGTTTCTTCAGTTCTAGTTTACAATTGAGTGAGCTTTCTTATTAGATGTTCGCTCAATGCGGTTACTGAAATTGCATTGTTCATTGAATTTGCTGCAGAGCCTTATAGTTTACATTTCTTTGTCCATTGAACTTATTAGGTTGAGAAAACCTTATAACGTGCACTGTTAAATTCTGTAGGCATTAGATAGAGGTGCAGCCTTATTGAAAGTAGACAAGCTTGTCACTGGTCACAATGCAGATGATATGGCAGAGACAGTTCTCTTAAACTTATTGCGTGGCGACATTGCAAGGTAGGACTGGTTGTAAACTGCATTCGTTTGTTTCCTTGAATAGTTTCTTTCATTAATATTGCTAACTTGTGTACCCTTCTTGTCTTATAGATTGAGTAGGTGTACATTTATAATGACTGGTGAAGATGGACCTATTCCCAGATGCAAGCCTTTCAAATACACTTATGAGAAGGAGATTGTTATATATCCTTTTGGACAATTCATTTTTTTTGGGGGATTTACATACTTAACACTTTATTTTATGCTAATTTGGGTGCATGGAATAAAATATTAAAGGCTATAGGATGGTATGAATGGTAGAAATGAATTATAAGAGTGATATATTTGATATTAAAGTTTTATATGGGTGGTAGGCATGCAATATTATTGTTTTTGGTGTTAGATATGTAAATAACACGAAATAAAGCGGTATGTATGTAATTTTTTTTTTATCGATTTTTTTTTTTCCAATTTCTCATCTAGCCAGCAATTTCTTGCTGATGGACCTTGACTGAAGGATAAGTATGCTTATTTCAAAAAACTGGACTACTTCTCCACAGAATGTAAGAATGAATCTTTTCTCCCCCCTTTTTCGCCTGGCATTGCTCTAGCTTGAGTCACGTCTCATTGTTGCTTCCAAGCTGCCATAGTTAGAACTTTTGCTTGGCTATAAGCGAGTTAAGTGATGATTTGGTCAGTGGGAACCCCACTGATTCATATTGACAATGTTTTAATTTTCATGCAATTTGACACTATTTAAAGCAATCCTTAATTGCTATCTTTATTGACGAGATCTAACCTTCTTTTATTTCATCTGATCAACAACAATATCAAGCCTTTGTCCCACTACGTGGGGTCGGCTACATGAATCCTTTTTCGCCATTGTGTTATGTTAAAAATCAAATTCTCATTTAAATCTAATAAAGAAAGATAAATTCTAATATTTTTTAACCAAGTCTTTTTAGGTCTACCTCTACCTTTCTTAACATAAGACAAATCTAAAACCTCAACTTTCCTAACCGGGTCATCGGAAGGCCTTCGTTTAATGTGACCAAACCATCTAAGGCGACTCTCTCTAATCTTATCTTCCACTGGAGCTACTCCAACCTTTTCACGTAAATGCTCATTTCGTATCCTATCTCTAAGGGTAAAACCACTCATCCACCTAAGCATCCTTATCTCTACAACACTTAACTTTTATTTCATCTGATGAAAAAGAAAAATGTTGTGGATTACAAATGCAACAATTCTCACCTTTTAATTTTTCTGTATGAGAGACACAAGCTGCATCCACATCAAAATCCTCATAGTTTATTAAGCTAAATCCGCATCAAAATGAACATTTGTTAAGCGATGCATCAGTTTTTAATATTTTTTTCAAGGCATTCTACTTCATTCTTAACAAAGATTGGCTTGCTTTCTATGCATCTAAGTACTGTTTTTGCTGATGCAGGCATCTATTCTCCAAATGCATATCGCGGCTTTGCTCGTGAATTTATAAAAGATTTGGAAAGAATCAGGTCGGTATGGAGCACTTATTTTATGGACTGTAGCATGGATTGTTTCTTTACTCAATGCTGCCATAACAGCATTACAATTCTCTCTCTTTCTCTAGAAATTGGTAGATTCTGTCTAATGGATTGTTGATTTGTTTCAGGCCGCAAGCTATACTTGATATCATTCGATCTGGGGAAGATTTTAGGATATCCAGCTCAACTAGAATGCCAGATCAGGGGACATGTGAACGTTGTGGCTACATCTCCAGCCAGGTTTTGATATTTGTTTTCCATGCTTTATTACTATGAACTGAGTTTCTGTTCCTGTTGGAGAAGGTTTTTTTAGTTATCCATGAACTATTTGTTGCCCCTAGATGATTAAGGCTTCATTTGGGACGGCTTTTTTATTGCTTCTTAAAGCAACTTTCTAGTAAAAAATAAATTTTTGTACTAGAAAGCTGCTTTAAAAAGCAGCAAAAAAGTCGTCGCAAACAAAACCCAAGTTTTGTATATTAATGATTCCTGATGGGCTCTTAACTATGAATTGATAATAGAGGTTCCTGATTCAGTAGATGGTTAATAAATATCATACACTGCAACTGAATTTTCTTGATTTGCTTGAGTGCCATTATGCATAGAGTTGTAACTTTTCTAGCGCAACAATTCATTCTAGCTGAATCCAACTTTTTCGGCTTATAGGACTTCTGATAGGAAATACTTGAGTCCGCAAGTAACCCTAAGGTAATACTTAAGTTCGCAAGCAATCCTAGGCTAATACTTAAGTTCGCAAGCAATCCTAGGCCAAACGGATGAGCAAACAGCAGGATTTCTGCTGTTTACAGCAGAAATCAGCACCAAATCATTGGAAAACGGCCAGAAAACTGAGAGAAAACCACACAAACACATGTATTCCACTAGTAGAAGAATAAAAATCAGCAAAGATACAATCGTTCTTCAATTCGAGAGGAAGAACAACTCTCCAATCTCCGACAATGCCAAGAGCCCAAAACGAAGAAAACCCTAGATCTCAAATTTTCATCAAATTACAGATGATCTCTACTCACACCCTTCTCCCTAATTAAAGCAAAAGGAATAATTAAAAATCCCTAAACAGCCCCTTAATTCAAAATTTTCCTCATAAAGTTTAATACAATCAATGCTTGGGCCCACAAGGGCTGCCGCCCAACCCCCTTTCTCCGCCCAGCTTGGGTTTGCAGGAGTAAACGAGGATCGATCCAGGCTGGACCGGTCCAGCCGGCCCCTCCTGGGCCGGCAGCATAACAACTTCATACCTTTAGAGGCCATTGATGCTTGTTTTTCTGATAAATATTTATGTCGACCATTGTGAATGGTTGGTTATTCAAATTAAGGCTTCGTTTGGGTCTGCTTTTTTATTGCTTCTTGAAGCAAATTTTTAGTACAAATTAAAAATTTTTGTACAAAAAAATTGCTTTATGAAGCAGTAAAAAAGCCATCCTAAATGAAGCATAAATCAAACATTTGAAAGCCTTATTAGCTTAAAAGGAATTCACCCAGTCAATGAGGATATATGAATGGGAATCATCAAGGATTATGCAAATAAAGATCAAGTAATAATAAAGAAAACGAGCAAAATAACATAGAAATGTAGCTCCTCTTGGGGATTGTGCAGTGATCCATGGTTTCTTAAAAAAATCTCAATTCCCTCAAGGAGTAAAAGTGAGTTTTGAATTCAAGAGGCAATAACTTTGTAAACATTCCTTATTTAAGTTTGAACTATTTTCTAAGCATTCTTAATATTTGTTGATTCATATTGTTTATACCTTTTGAAAACATTCCATAACCATTTCATATGCATATTTGATTTAAGCATTCCTTAGGGATTAAGATTTATTCCTAGGAAGTATTGTGTTTTCATTTCAAAGTTTTTGTTCATTTATCATCTCTCTCATGACTCTCATTTATCATCTCTCTCATGACTCTCACCGTAGCCCTACCATGACCATTTGTTCGTGCACAACACTAGCTAAGATGACTATGATTGATATAATTTCCCCCCCTCTCTCTCTCTCTCTCTCTCTCTCTCTCTCTCTCTCTCTCTCTCTCTCTCTTTTAAATTTTCATGGCATGAATTGTACCCCACCCTACTGTGAAATCTTTAGGTCGAGCCGTTTAGCCTTTTCCGTAAAATGTGATTCGCCTTACTATGATAGTTTTCACTACGCTATTTGTTATGGTGAGCCTCATAAACTTGTCACAAAAGAATTACACTCTTGAATGCTAAATGATATTAGGTTCAGCCCAAGATACAATTGATCATTGGGAAATGAAAAGAAGGTTATGATGCCCTCTCGTGGATAACAAATCATCCAAGTGCCTTTTAATGATAAGTTTATCATAATGCTCCAGCCTTTATATTCAAATACACGTAATATCTACTCGGTTGATTAGATAGATCGACCAAATACCCGATTTGATCTTATTATATGCTAGTTGATATAAGGGTCTTGGCAAGCCATTGCTTCATTGTGCAAGCAAAAATATATGCTACATTGAAAACTGAAGTCAACCAACTTAATCAATTAGGTTGACTTTCGTATAGATTAAGGTCATAAGACCTATTGTTGGGCTTATTCCATTATTTGAGTTAATAAGTCCCACATGCAAACATGTCATGAGTTAAAACTACGAGCCTCAATCTTATGGGACTTTTACAAATAGAGTTGCAAGCTCTAAACCTCAAATCAATGAGCATTCTTGTCATGAGATAATCTATGACTGCTAATCAAATTCTCTCAATATAGCCTCTGATGTTGACAGATTGGATCCATTGTTATACCTAGGATGACAGAATTATGAAATCTTGATAGGATATACCTTCATCTTCCTAAACATTCCCTATGAATTAAATTTTAAATCTAAATATTAAATTTGGCCTTAATAATAAGCCTAATCAAACTTCTTAATCAAGAGTGCTTTACCATCCAACAACAACAACAAGTCTTTGGCTTCGTTTGGGATGGCTTTCTTTCTGCTTCTTAAAGCATCATTCTAGTATAATTTTTTTTTTACTAGAAAGCTGCTTTGAGAAGTAGAAAGAAAGCCGTCCCAAACGAAACCTTTATCTAACTATGTGGGTTCGGCTACCCGATGTGCAAGAGTGCTCTCCCATAGAATTCAAAATCTATTAAAGGTTTTTCTTGCTGTATCTTCTCATGTCTTTTAGACTTTTGTTCAGGAACTACTGCTCTTGCATTGCCTTCCTGAGTATGTTTAAATTATAGAGATTCTAATCTGTAACTAATGTGCAGAAATTATGCAAAGCTTGTGTCTTGCTTGAGGGGCTAAATCGAGGTTTGCCAAAGCTGGGGATAAGCCGTACCAGAGAGGCCATTAATGGAAGTGAAAGGCTCCATAAGACAGGCAGGCTTCCAAAAGCAGAAGCTGAGCGGCCAATTCTACAAAGCAAACCATGTGGAAATCTGGAGTTCTAATTATTTCCTCTACTGGAGTTATGCAGAGTCTGTGTTCGGATATCAGACGGAGAGAACCGTTCGATTTTGCCTTTGTGAACAGTGAAAGTGCGACAGTGAACCATATAAGTGCAGTTAACTGTGCTTTTACTGTTCACAGAGACAAACCGGATAGTTTTCTCCATCTGATGTCCGCACAGAATAATTTCTCGTGCATTACAGTCTAGACTATCTGCTTCTGTTGAAATGTCTAAAAATGTGTTTATCATTACGGTTCCTCACTTTTATTTACATATTTATTGAAAAAAGATGGTTAAAATATTTTATTTGGCTGAGAAGGGTTGGCTCGTAATTTAGTAGAAATTTAGGGTCATTAAATGCACTGTTTGATGTTTAGGATATAATTTAAAAAATGTATAATAATTTGAAATTTTACATCAAATAAATATATAATCAATTTTGAATTAAAAGTCAAATTAAAATTATAATAAAGTTATTTTTAATTTCAAGTCAAATAAACATTTTTTAAATCTATTATACATTTCAAAGATTATTAAGAATTTATTTGATAGAAAATGTTATTATTGTTTTTTAAATTAAAAAAATAAATAAATACTAATTTTAATTTCAAATCAAATAAACTTTATCGATATGTTCAATTACCAAAGATAATTATGAATTTATTTATTATAAAATATTATTATTCTAACAACTCAGTAGTTCAAATTTGATATAAATATTCATAAACATACTAATTAATTAATTTTAACTAAAATTAATTAATTAGTTAGGTTTGTGGACCAAAGTTTGCATTTCTCGTTGAACCTCCAGGCGCATTCAAATCGGTAGACCATCTCTCCTTCAGGCGTGGCCGGTGCACTAGCAATGCAGCTGGGCCACACTGCCTTGAAACATGGGTAGACCGGGTCCTCTTTCTCCATGTGGTCTATCAGGTAAAATATGTAGTAGAAGAGTAAATCCCCATATGACCTGTCCTGAATTAAATAATATGAATTAGACACTTTTTTTTTTTTTTAGAATGGGGTATCTATCCGCTGTCATCCTCTTAGGAGATTCATGACAGTGTAACTAATCTCTCAGCGAGCCTACCAGCAGTCAGCCCCACAGGTGCATGACCGGTAGTTATTTTCTTCCCGCTTAACGGGCCGACCCGCATGAGAGATGATTCGAACATGGGTTGGGGGATTATCAATCATCACTACCAAAAAGATGATTTTTTTGCAGCAGATACTTGGGACGGTTTTAAAACCGTTGCAAAAGTCCCCTTTTCGCTGCGGTTTAAACCGATACTATTTGCGGCGGTCTTAACCGGTCCAAATAGCACCGTTTTAACCACTGCCAAAATTCCTCATCGTGATATACATCCATGCTAAGCTCTGTGACAGTGTAACTAATCTCTCGGCGAGCCTACCAGCAGTCAGCCCCACAGGTGCATGACCCGTAGTTATTTTCTCCCCACTTAACGGACCGACCCACATGAGAGATGATTCGAACATGGGTTGGGGGATTCCCAATCATCACTACCAAAAACATGATTTTTTCGCAGCAGATATTTGGGACGGTGTTAAAACCGCTGCAAATTTTCGCTTTTCGCTGCGGTTTAAACCGATACAATTTGCGGCGGTCTTAACTGGTGCAAATAGCACCCGTTTTAACCGCTGCCAAAATTCCTCATCGTGATATACATCCATGCTCCCCTACCAACCCAGCTAAGCTCGGTGGGTGAATTAGACAACCTTATTTATTTTCTATTCTAATTATTTTTATTTTTCTTTCTTATATATCTATACATATAGTTTGTGAATTTATAAAAAAAAAAGTAAAATTTTAAACTAAAATTATTATATATAAAAGCAAGTAATTAGAGGGGGAAAAAAAACCTGTATGGACTGATCACTACCCTGTGACGTCGGATAATCCAAAAAATGACTTGAAGTGCTCTTGCCTTCGCGAGCTGAAAAGCCTCAGCGTTTGGCTTCTCTTCGCCGGTGGAATTATACTTCCAGTTCTTCAACTCCAAAACAAACCCAACTGCTCGTAACATATATTCTGTGTGATCGCTGGCGGCATAGTTTGGAGGGCCGACGGCTTCTAACAGTTGCTCGGCCATAGTTTTGTTCTTCTTTTCGAACACAGTATCATTTTTCTCAGTAATCGGAGAGCTTAAAGCCTGCAAAGAGAATGTGGAGAGGAGGAAGAAGATGATAAGAGGAAAGAGATAAATCTGTTTGGCTTCCATTTTTGTCTTTGTTTGATTGATGTAAGTTCATTTAGGAGCTGATATTTATGAAGAAAATTTCAATGAAACGGCAGAAAGTTTTTAATGAAGAAAAGATGACCGTTTGTTTGGGCGATGGAACTGAAGATTTAAGAGAGATAATGAATTCAACTATTTATTGTTTCTTCAGATAGATAGATAGAGAGAGAGATAACTCCATAAGATATTCAAACTTCATTCATCAAACGTATATATTAAACTAATTAAGGCTTAGGCTTCGTTTGAGACAACTTTCTTGTTGCTTCTTAAAGCCGCTTTAAGAAGCGGGAAAAATAAAGCCGTCCCAAACAAAACCTTAGTTTGAGACAGTTTTATTGCTGCTTTCTAAAACAACTTTTCAAGTATAAATTTTTGTATTAGAAAGCTATAAGAAAGCTACCATAAACGATCTGAATCACTGCAATTCTAACAATCCGATGATAGATGTTAGAATTTAGGCTTTGTTTGGGACGGCTTTCTTAATTTTTTACTAATAAGCTGCTTTCAGAGGTAATAAGAAAGCCATTTCAAAGAAGTCTTAGTCATAAATGAATTAAATTCAGTTATGTCGCATTAATTTTAGTTGAATTTTATTTTAAACGGATTAATTTTTTTTTTATTTGACTTAATTTTGGGAGTTTCATTTAAGATAAACTTTAATGAAACTTCATTAAAATTCCTGAGGTGAATTTTAATATTTTCTCCTGTCTTTTAGATCTCTTGCATGTATACTGGCTATTTTAGTTACTGCCTTCCTGAGTATGTTTAAAGTATAGAGGTTTTAATCTGTAACTGATGTGCAGAAATTGTGCAAAGCTTGTGACTTACTTGAGCGGCTAAATCTAGGTTTACCAAAGATGGGGATAAGCCGAGGAGAAATTATTATGTACGGAGTATGGATGTAGCTTTTTCTTAGGATTTTGATCATGTGAAGACATGTTAATTTTCTCTCTCTTATACACAATCTATGTACAATAGAGAGAAAAAAAACTCATGTGTCTTCATATGATTGGAGTACGAACAACATCCGGACTTCGCAACGTAACAATTTTTCGTGCAAAGAGGCCATTAATGGGATGAATTATTCTGTGCAGACACCAGACTGGGAGAACAATCTGATTTATTTCTGCTCACTGCGCTTATATTGTGTTAGCACACCACAATCACATGGGAGACTTCAGCTCCACCTCTCACGGGACCGCCCTGTTCCAGCCGACTCATCATTCTCCACACTCTCTGTCAAGACAGACTGCTCCTAACGGAATGCATTATGATCTCCCTACTCACCTCCTATATATATACTCACACTCGTGTAACAACGCATTTTATGAGACTATCAATAAAACAATAACTTAGCTTCATCCTTCTTTCTCGTTTTCTTGCTCTAACATCTCCTTGCAGGTATCTCTTCTTATTGTTCATGCTGCGCTTTTACTATTCACAAAGATAAAACCGATCGATTCCTCCCGTCCGGTATCCGCACATAATAATCTCTCCTTTAATGGAGGTCGAAGGCTGGTAAAGAAATACAAGTTTGCAAAAGCAGCAGTTGACTCTTTTAACTGCTCCTCACTTTTATTTACTTATTTATTTAAAAAAGATCAAATATTTTATTTACAGATGTCAAAACAAAATTTGGCTGAAAGGGTTGGCTTGTAATTTAGTAAAGATATAGTTTCATTAAATGCATTGTTTAATATTTAGGATATTATTTAAGAAATGCATAATATTGTGAAAATTTAGATCATTACACTTATATTATAATGTCCAGTAAGTACAATTGCAATATTTTATAAAATTAGGTTTTGTTTAGGACAGATTTCTAAATACTTTTAAAAGCATATTTTTTACAAAAAATTTCTAATTTACAAAAAATTTTGGTACTAAAAAGCTAATTTATAAAGCAGTAAAAAAGCCGTCCCAAACGAAACCTGAGTTGCGAGAAAGTAATTTAGCTAATATGGTTGCAAATAGTAATATTTCATCATAATTTTTTTTGGAAAAACAGTAAGAAAGTAACAGACAAATGAAATTATGATTGTTGTTTGAAAAATAAATCAGCGAAGAAGTTCATATATAATTGAATGAGATCACTTTTCAATATCACAAAATCAAAATTTAAATGCATAGAGAGCTAAAAATATCCATTCAATTAGTAACTGTATTCATCTCACTACTTGTATTTACACTTTTACCATTCGCTCTCTATAAATATGTACAACTATATCTGTTTACATTTGAATAAGATAGATTTTCCTTTATTCTGTTTCGCGGTCTCTGCCTCTTCTTCTTTCGGTTTCTTCCCTGTTCTCTCGCATGGTATCAGAGTCATGGTAGAACAAGAACAGAACAACTCTCTTCCTCCTACATCTTCATCTTCTTCCGCCACCAACATCACCAACACCGCTGCTCCTCACATCGGCATACCTCCGGCACTGAAATTTCTCCTCAACAACATCAAGAACCTCGCTCCTCATCAACTTACGCCGGACAACTATGCCATATGGGGTACACAATTGCTACAGCAATTTACCGGCCGCCAATGGGTATGCTGGTTACCTCACCGGAACCATCACCCCTCCTCCTGACGAGCAATCTGCCGACTACGCTCGCTGGCATCTTGAAGACAGCAACCTCCTCTCGGCTCTCTTTTCAACCATTTCTCAACAAATCTTGCCCTACATTCTTACCTCCAACACCTCCCACGAAGCCTGGCAGATTCTTGAAAGACGTCAACAACCTACATGTCGTTCTCGCGTTATCCAGCTAAAGAATGAACTTCACAATGTTCGTCTCAAGGATCTCACCATTCCACAGTACTTAACGCAAATTAAATCCATCGTAGACAATATCGCCGTTGCCGGATCAAAGATCGAACAAGACGACATCATCCACTACATCCTTCAAGGACTGTCGAACACCTATAGCTCCTTCAAAACGGCAATTCGCACCTATCATCAACCTCTTGATCTTGACAAATTTTATTCTCTTCTCTGCAGCGAGGCGATTAACATTCAGCAAGAACAGTCTCTCGACCTTTCCAACAATGCC